AATTTCCGGCGATATTGTTTCGTGTAAAGTTTCGAGCTTTTGACTCCAGTTCTCTTCCCAAGTGCGTGTGAGAGTGAGTACTTTGTCTTAAGCCCCATTACTTTGTATATCGTTATTTGCTTTTTGTGAAAATTGATATTGTGCTTGTGTTGCTTGGAGAAAAAGATTGAATCTTTAGATCGTGAATGCTCGAGTAATTGTGATTAGGAGTTGAATACTTGCTCGTCTTGTGCTAGGGCTTGGTTTAGCTACCAAGGGTTTTAGATCGCATGGAAATGTTCGGTTATTTGTGTGTGTTTGATCATAGAGACTCCGACGAACCAAAATCTCTCTTTCCCCCTTGATTTCTCTCATCTTCTTGCGTGCTTAGTTAATTGGTTTAAATTGCTCTCATTTCGTAGATTAATCTAGTTTAAATTCAAACCCTCAAATTGCGAGTAGAATGTTTAGGACCTTTTCGGTTGTGTGACTTTGACGACTAGATAGTGAACGAAGCTCCGAAGAGCCTTTCTTTGAGAACGACCCGAGTCGGGTAACTCGGTTACCACATGCCCAAAAATACTACAAACAGCCATCTATTTCTGAAGGTTGGTATTGATAATTTTCGAGGTTACTGGGTTTTGTTTTATTAGGTTACTAGTAAAATACTTGTGTACTGCATGAATGCTTGTTAAGAAAATTATATTTAAATTAATAATAATAATAGTAATAACAATAATAATAATTTTTTTAGTCTTAAATACTTTGAAAATATATATTACTATTTATATTTAAAATGACACCGTCACTTATACAATTTCTCATCTTATATTATAATGTTTTTTTTTAAAAAAAAAATTATATCAGATAACTACTTTGTAGCTAAATTAATTTAAATAATTTTAATTTTGTGAATTAATATTAATAGGTATTTAAATTTAATTATACTGATAAATTAAATTATTTATTTATTATGTATGCATAATATTGATGTCACATCGAAACTCATCAAAATACGATTATTTTGATATATTATATATAAAAACTTGTTACTAAATATAAATTATATTAACTTTTATATTTATTATTTCAGTTAATAAAGTTCTTATAATTTTAAGAGAGATGTGAGGAAAAAAAAGAAAGATTGAGAAAATCTATACCTTATAAACTAGGTCTACAATAAAAAAATAGCATTAAAGCATAATTAATGCCCTTAAAAAGTACCATAATTGTTCAGTATATTTATGGATAATCTAAACCTAGTTACTTTTGGATTGGAAATAAATTAAAATTTATTCATGCTAAAATCACAAGAGAGAACATGATAGAGAAAAAAATAGTTTATGTTGTATTAATCGTAGAAAGAGTTTTACAGATAATATATAGAGATTACAACAGATAACATCATATCAAATCAAATATCTAGATGCCACATATAGCCATAGAAAATAACTTCAATAATTATCGATCTGTTACACCCTGCCTCAAGTTGGTGCATGAAGATTCTGAATGCCCAACTTATCGTGAAAGTTCGTGAATTCCTGTCCACCCAACCCTTTAGAAAAAATATCTGCAAACTGAGCCGTGGTAGAAACGTATTTAGGAGACACAAAATCCTTCAATAGTTCGTTACAGACAAAATGACAGTCAATCTCAATGTATTTGGTACGCTCATGAAACACTGGATTAGAGGTAATATCAAGGTTGCCTACTGTGGAGAGAAAGATACGAATGATCAATACCAAAACATCCCAAAAGGGATTTCAACCATGTCAGCTCACAAGTGGTAGAGGCCATGGAGCTATTCTGCTTCTGTGGAAGAGCGAGAAACAGTAGGCCCAGAAATCCGATCAATCATCCTCTGACGGACGTAGATGAAAAGCTCATGGTTCAGCAACGACCCCTATTGAATTATTTGGTCCCACTCGTTATCAATGGGATCAGGGTTACTTCCAGCAAGAGATATATCGAAGAGTTAGTGCTGGGCTAGCAGAAAATCAAAGTTTATCAGAAGCCTGGTCCAAAATTCCTGAAAAAATTTGCTTTTTATGATTATATTAGCAATAATCCAGCAAAAGGAGGATTATTCAGGGCAGGCTCAATGGATAACGGAGATGGAATAGCGGTTGGGTGGTTAGGACATCCTATCTTTAGGGATAAAGAAGGGCGTGAGCTTCGGGGTTATCCTGCACTCAGAAGAAGAAGTCGAAAAAGGAATAAATATAGTGAGAATTCGATTGTTCTTCGTCGTAGGAAATAAACAAGAAAATCGAATTTCTTTCTTCATCTTTCCAAAAAAAAAAAAATATAGGAGTATAGACTATGATACATTCACTAAAAAAATTCCTTTTGTAGACAACTATCTATTAAGAAAAACTGATAAGATATCTTATAGGAGATAGGCGAAGATTTGAGTTGGATGATCCAACCAGTGAGAGATCTATGCGTAAGTGGACAACCCGCCCAATCAGGGTCACACCAAGCCATAAGACGTAAATCAAAATAAGCGCAAAAAAAAATGCCCTGACCAGGCCTACCTTTCAAATAGCGCACAACTCGAAGAGCAGCATCCAATGAGGTTAGAGAGGATTGTGCATAAACTGAAACAAAACATAAACGGAATAAGACAAGTCTGGTCGGGTGACAACAAGATATATAAGCCTTCCAACTAAACACATGTATTTTTGTGGATCTAAGAGTGGAGGACCAGTGACAAGCCGAAACTGGTGATTTTGTTCTAGTGGAAATGAGGTCGGTTTAGCAACGAGAAAACCAACCTCGGATAACATGTCAAGGGTATACTTCCTCTGGCACAAAAAAATGCCAGAGGAATTGCGAGCTACCTCCAAACTCAAGAAATATTTCAAAATGTCGAGATCCTTCATATGAAAGCAATGGCTTAAATAAGCCTTAAAGGAAGAAATAGCCCACTGTTATTCACAGAGATGAAAAGATCATCGACATATACGAGAACGTAAAAATTGAATGCCATCGCGACAAAAAGTAAAAAAGAGAATAATCTGCATAAGATTGACGAAAACCATATTTTCAAAGTGTCTTAGTGAGTTTCGCAAACCAACTTTGGGGAGCATGTTTAAGACCATACAAAGATCATTTCAAACGAAAAACAAGACCGAAGGCCGTAGTTTTCAAAAATTAGGAGGCAATTTCATATACACTTCTTCATCAAGATCACCATGCAGAACTGCATTGTGAACATTCATCTGATGTAATTCCTATAGTCGGGCAACAACAACAGCTAGAAAAACTCGAGTTGTCACCATTTTTGCGACGGGAGCAAAAGTTTCAGTATAGCCAATACCCTTGACCTATTATTCCCAAGAATAACCAAATGACCAAGATTTATTATTAGAACTGCTAACATGACTAGGAGCTAATTACATAGCTTCCCAATAACCTGTGGGGGTGAGTGCCCCAAGCGTTGATGCCACAAGTCCACAGAGCCGCCAACAGATACTCTAGCCGCCTTCATAGGATCTTGAAAAAATATAACCCCCCTTTTTGTTAACCCAGACTAATCAGATGTTAGAGGTATGCTGTAAAAGCTCCTATTTACAGATTCTATCAATTCCATTTT